CACTCTCACTCACTCACTCCGTCTCACTCACTCACTGCTTCACTCTCACTTGCTCACTGCCTCACTCCCTGTCCCACTTTCTCACTGCCTCACTCTCACTCACTATTTCACTCGCTCACTCTCTTACTCACTGCCTCACTTTCTCCCTGTCTCTCATTCACAGACACTCTCTCACTCACTCACTGTTCTCACTCTCTAACTCACTCCCTGTCTCACTCTCATTCACTGACACACACTCTCACTCGCTCACTGCCTCACTCTCACTCACTGTTTCACTTGCTCACTCTTACTGACTCACTAGCTCATTGACTCACTCACTCACTGCCTCACTCTCTCACTGTCTAACTCACTACCTGTCCCACTCACTTACTTTCTCCCTGTCTCACTCTCATTCACTGACACACTCTCTCACTCTCACTCACTCAGTGCCTCTCTCTCTCTCACTCACTTGCTCTCTGCCTCACTCACTGTTTCTCTCTCTCACGCACTCACTGTCTCACTCGCTCACTCTCTTACTATCTCACTTGCTCACTCACTCACTTACTCTCTCTCTCTCACTCACTTGCTCACTGTCTCCCTCTCACTGACTCACTCCCTCACTTTCTCCCTGTCTCACTCTCATTCACTGACACACTCACTCACTCACTGCCTCACTCTCACTCTCACTCTCACTCACTCACTGCCTCACTTTCTCCCTGTCTCACTCAGTTACTCACTTTCTCCCTGTCTCACTCTAAAAAAAAAAAAAAAATTTTGCCTGCACTCTGAAATGATTGGACAGAAACCCATTAACCTTTTGGTTAACCAGTTCTGCCTCCCAGGGATTCCTTTAGGGTCTCTAGAAGTTTTGTATATTGAAATCATACAAGATTCCTTAAATTCACAGCTGCATTTCCCTTAGCGTGTTCCTGAAGTTCATCTGTGTTGTTACAATAGGAGCCCTGGTGGTGGAGATCGATGCAGTCAGCAGTTGGAAACCACCAGCAGCAGCTCAGCAAGGGCTACGCTTTCCACTCCCATAACAGTTACAGTCTTGGAAACCCACAGGGGGTCGCTGTGAGTCAGCATTGTCTCCATGGCATTGAGTATGTTGTTACATAATGTTGCTCTGGTCTTTCAGTGAACGCGTGTTCATCTCACTTGTAGAATACCTAGGGGTGGAGTTCTGGGTCCTATGGTAAGTGTATGCTGGAAAAAAAACCCCACCGATATAAGAACAGAGTTTTAAGTATCAAAAGGTTACAATTTTTCCTTCCTAAGATTTGATTTGATATGATTCAGTACTTTTTCTCCAGTAATTGGAGCAAAGCACCGCAGGGAACAGTGTTTTGTAGGCCTAGCGTGTGAAAATATTCTTAGGCAATGGGAAGACAGGCAAGAATTGTCAGGGAAGAATGGCATAATCAAATCGATATTTTGGGTTAGGAAGAGCTCTAGGTTTAGAGGGCCCTGTGGGGAGAGCAGATACATAGTAGGTAAAACACAGAGTGAGATTGCCAGGATCCAAGTCCTAGCATGACTACTTATAAATTGATTGAGCTGGGGGAAAATTAATTAATTTCTCAGGCTTCAATTCATTTGTCAAATGGAAGCAATGATAACATCAGCTTCACGGGGTTCTTTTGAGGATGAAGTGACTTTCTACATGTCAAGTACTTAGAACTGTTTTTTGTGCCTTGTCCCACGCCCTTCTTCAGCCCACCCCCTGCTTGGAAGTTATATATTCTGCTAGGGTTCCTTTAGTGGTTAAACAAAGTCTAAAGGATTATTTACCATATATACTTATGTATAAGCCGAGTTTTTCAGCACATTTTTAATGCAGTTTTTGTGGTAAAATTAGGTGCCTCACCTGATATTCGGGTTGGCTTATACTTGAGAATATACAGTAAGTTAATTTATAAAATTAGAATAAATAAAACATCTATTGAATGCGTTATTTCCAGTTGCCCTCTGCAAGTTTATGCCACAGTTGTTCAGTTTTGTTGTTATTTTTGGGTAGTTTTTCTGTTCAGCAATTAAACATGATTGTTTGGTTCGTAATACGTTCGGAATAGTATAAAGGTGGATAGCTTCCAAAACTGTATAGGGTCGCTTTGAAGGGGAATCAACTTGATAGCTGTGTTTTGTTTTGTTTTTTTAAACAGAATTTAAGGAGTGGTGTTTCTCATTACTTCTGGATGTTTTTAGCCATTGCGTTTGCTTACATAGGAGACTGCATGAATAATTATTTTTAGAAGGGACAGCACAGAGATGGGTCTTGGAAGGTAAAAGCTGCCCCAAATGCCCAACTTTTCTGAACTGTTGGACCACTCCGTCATCTTTAACATCCACTTCTCTCCCTCCCTTAAGCACTCTCCTTCCTGTCTTCAGGTTCCCAATTTGCTGCAACCTGCAGAACTTGTAAATGCTTTTCAAAGAATGGGTCACACAGTTGTGGAGACTGACAAGTCAGGTCTCAGGCTGGAGACATCTTGTCTCATGATGTGGTTGCCAATGAACCCAAATCTTCGGGTCCGGCAATGGCTCAAGTTCTAAGAACTGGAAGTCAGATGGTGATGTCCCAAATGCAAGATGCAAAGTTCCCAATCTTTGCCTGAGCTTTCATTTACCTATACTGGATGCAGACCATAACCCCAAGGCAGTCCTTGCAAGACTTTGCAAGGGTGTGAAGGGTGGTAACTTGGGTAAAGGTGGTGAGCTGTGATATCTGGTATGGGGGTGACTCCAGATACATAGCACCCTAATGCTGTCTCATTAACATAATGCACAACTCACTCCCAAATGAGATTCCTTACCAAATGGGTTCACTCCCACGTGGAACCATAGCTTATTTCCAAAGGGGATAGGCGTGGAGACATACATAAAATAGAGGGTAACTGCATCACTACATAACAGCCAAGCCATGACAATCATGGCCCGGTTAAGTTGATTTAATTGCCTCATTCATCACAGGTTCCATGAACCTTATTTTCCTTAGCAGCAAGTTGTTCAATTTCCTTAGTGAGTCACAGGTACTTTATTTGCAGAGTTCCATGGCTAGAGTTCTATTAAGTGGTTGTACCAAATCCATCTGACGATTTTCTACAAAGATTGGGGTTGGTTATGACCCATAGTGATCCTGTGTATAACAGAATGAAACACTGCCTAGGCCTGGGCCATTCTCAAAATTGTTGCTATGTTGAACCCATGTTTGTAGCCACTGTCTCAGTCCATCTCAGTCTTCCTCTTGTTACAGACTTTCCTATTTTGCCAAGCATGCTGTCCTTCTCCAGGGCCTGGCCCCTCCTACTAGGTGAGAGGAAGTCTCGCCATCCTTGCTTCTGAGGAGCTTTCTAGCTGTCCTTCTTCTGAAGCAGATTAGGTTGGTTCTGGCAGGCATGGATATATTCAATATTCATTGTCCAGCTTTCACGTGCTTAGGAGGCCATTGAAAATACCGTAGCTTGGATGAGGCGCACCTTTGTTCTGAAATAGACATCTTAGCTTTTCCCATTTGGACAGCAGATTTATCCAGTGAAATAAACAACATCATTTAATTTCTTGCTTGATGCTTCCATGGACACTGATTGTGGATCTTGTTCAAGGGAAATTCTCGACAACTTGAATCTTTCCTCTGTTGATCATGATGTTTCTTATTGGCCCCACCGGGAGGATTATCGTTTTCTGTATGTTGACATGTAATCCATACTGAAGTCTGTAGCCTGTTGTTGCCATCATTAAGCACTTCGGGTCTTCATTTCTTTGAACAAATTAGCTTGTGTCGTCTGCATAACTCGGGTGGTGAGCAAGTCTCCCTATAATCCTGATGCCACATTCTTTTCCCCATCATAGTCTACATTGGAAATACCTTGGTTAGCAAAAGTTCTACTTGGACGTTTGGCTTTTAAGTAATCTTCAGAATAGTGCCGTGTACCTCTGTACAGGTCATAGCTTAATTGCATCTTTCATGAGCTACTAATTATCTTAGATATTTGAATGCTGCTGTGAGCTAGCCAGGTCTACAGTGCTTTAACACAGACTTCTGTCATTTCAGAGAACTCAGTTTCCTGGATCTGTTGAATCTCAAAAATCTCGCCCGAAAAAAGGTCTGTATAGCAGTTTCACTGTATGTGTGTGTTTATACAGATTTCTCTTGGGTTCACTAATTCATTATCTTATAAACATTAGAGCTTTTAAAAACCTGAGTGTTAATAAACAGTGGCAATAAAGCCTTCTATATTTTGATTGATGTATTTTTGGTACAGTACATTTAGCATGATTATTTTTTAAACGTTATATTCTAAAAGTAAACAGGAAACCCTTAGCTGACCTTGTAACCCAGCCATTAGACCTGCAGGAATTGATAGTCACAAAACAAGTAAGATCGTAAATGTCTGATGTTCATATTAGTATGAATGGAAAATGCTAAATATTCAGCTATAAGAAATTAGATTTTTACTCTCATAATAAGGAACACTAAGATCATTTTAGAGTGATATAACAGTAGTAAATTTATTGGTATCTGCTATATATTGTTAAAATTAAAAGCATTTTAAAAACTCATTCATTTTAATAGATTTTGGAAATTGAGAATATTTTAATTGTAGATATTCTGAACATACTGTACTGTATGCTGAAATTCCTATACTCTTTAGGACAATTTCATTTATGAATGTATGGAGCCCTGGTAGCATAGTGAATTAATTTACTCATTCAGCTGCTAACCACAAGGTCAGCACTTTGAAACCACCAGCAGCTCCTAGAGAGAAAGATGAGGCTGTCTGTTCCCTTGAAGATCTACAGCTTCAGAAAGCCAGAGTGGGCAGTGACTTGATGGCAGTGGCAATGAGATGTATCCATTTATATGTTGTTGTGAGGGACTGTCATGTCCATTTCCACTGTTCAAAGACCCCCAGTGATGGGGTAGAACTTCCCCCAAAGGATTTTCTTTAGTTTCTCTAGGAGCAGCTTGTCAGCTCGCTCTCCTATGGAGCTGCTCAGTCGAGTGGATTCCAACCCAGTGCGACCCTGTAGGACAGTGAAACGGCGCCTGTGGATTTCCGAGACTGTCAATCTTTACAGGAGTAACAAACCTCATCTTTATCCTGTGGAGCAGCTGGTGGTTTCAAATTGCTGACCTTGTGGTTAGCAGCCTGAATGGATTCAAACTGTTTGCAATTAGCACCATATCTATGTATACATACTTATGCATATGTATATGTTTATGTAAATGCATGTTTAGTTCTTGGTAGTGATTTTATAGGTGCATGCTACTGACTTTTTTTTCACTTAAGTTTTGGGCACAAATTTAAAGCGTTAAAGGTAATGTAGGTGTATATTTCAACACTGTCTACATGAATTTTCACTGCATCTTTGATAAAGTTACCTAACGTCACAATTTCTACCGTGGTAGTGAATGTCATTGATTTGGGGCTGGGATGTGAGATGGGGCACTTTTACATCACCTTCACTAATTAAATTGATAGGCGCAACATTTGTCTTTGTAAGAGGATCCACCTAAGATTCAGATGTACAGTCAGGAGTGGGACACTGCTGATTAGAATACCATATATACTCTAGTATAAGACGGCCTGAATGTCAGCTGAAGCACCTAATTTTACCACAAAAACGGCGTTAAAAACGTGCTGAAAAACTTAGCTTATCCATGAGTATATACGGTCAGTAACCTGGGCAGTGCTGTTGGGGAAACATTGGGCTGCTCACTGCAAGGTTGGCAGAGCTCAAACCCACCAGCGGCTCTGTTAGAGCACGAAGACTGATCTGCTCCTGTAAAGATTTACTGTCTCAGAAACAAACCCTCTTGAGCAGCAGTTCACCCTGGTGCGACCATCACAAAGCAAGAGACCAGAGAACTAGAAAGTCGAGGCTCACCACCCATTTATCCCTCCACCCTTCAATTAACCCCACATGTGTTTATCAGCCAGGTTGGCACAATAAACTAACAGCCCAATGCTTAGCCCACTGAGCCATACAGCAGAAAAAAGGATCAGATATATTTAATTATTAATTTTTAGTTTGAGGAAGTAAAGTAATTTAAAATAACCTAGGACAACTGGATAAGAGCAATTGTATTCTAAGGTCATTTTAATCTTGTCTCTTCCTTCATCATCATTTATGCCCATGAACAGAGTAGATGTTTTCTGTCCATCCAATAGGATTTGCCGATTGTACTCTCTTCCCGTCTCTGCTTGGTATTGTGAGGAGCTGAGTCTCCCAGGCCCCCTCCCTTCTCAGGCTCTATGTCAACAGTTGCTGATTGGGTTGCTGAGTGGGAGGAACTGGCAGGATATGAAAGAGCCAGAGGATGGAGCAGCCAAGGCATTTCCCCTTCCTCTTTGTGCTGAGGAGAGTCCAGGGGCTGGGTGGCCATCTCTGGCCACATCTCTTTTGTTCCTCCTGCTCCTAGTGGTCAGGCTGCCTTGTTTTCCGCCTCCTCAAGGTATAGCACAGTGGTTCTCAACCTTCCAAATGTCATGACCCGTTAATACAGTTCATGTTGTGGTGACCCCCCAACCATAAAATTATTTTCGTAGCTGCTTCATAACTGTAATTTTGCTACTGTTATGAATAGGGTGAACCCTGTGAAAAGGTCGTTCGACTCCCAAAGGGGTCATGACCCACAGGTTGAGAACCGCTGGTATAGCAGGTCTCCTCCATTTGTCCTTCTAGCCCAGAGCAGGTAATGGCCTATGTCCATGTTGACCTCTGGGTTACCTCACTGTTTCCTGTCATATCTCATTTCTTTCACCACTTGCTCACTGCATAAAGTTCCTCCATTTTAAACCCTCAAGAGACTTCTCTGTTTCTGGTTAGGCCTGACAGATACAGCACTCAGAATTAAAAATGTCTTACTCTGTATATATACTCGAGTATAAGCCGACCCAAATATCAGCTGAGGCACCTAGTTTTACTACAAAAACTGCACTAAAAATGTGCAGAAAAAAACTCGGCGTATACACTAGTATATTGGTACATTTATATTCTTTTCAAAATTTCTTGTACTATGGACATCTCAAGTATGTATTATTGTATTGAAGTAAATGTGTTATAATTTCAACCTGGCATGAAGAAATTGACATTTATCGATTGTTCACTTTGAAAATTTTTATCATTTTTCCAGTAAAAATTGTAGGGGTGGAGTGAAGAATGAAGGCTCAAGAAAGTTAAATATCTTGCCCTGGGTCTTATAGAATGTCGGGGTTGTATCGAGATCTGAATTCTTTATCAACATTTGTGTACTGTACATGCATGTGCGAGCGCTTCTGCTGTATGCCTGCTAGGAGATCTTTTGGCAAAGATGGCTTCTCTTGTACTTATCAAAGTCTTAATCATTTTAGAACCATTTTTAGCTGGTGTCGAATCACAGTAAATTTCTGCTTATCCTTGAGAATGATGGCAACATAAGTACAAATGTGCTTGACAATTGATGTATATATGGGTGAGTTGTATGAGCCCCCAATAAAATGATGAGTTGTATGAGTTGTGATGAGTTGTATGAGCCCCCAATAAAATGATTTTTTAAAAATTTCTGCTTATCCATCACAGAGCTAGGTAGGGCTATATCCTAAGATTAGTCCAAGCTCACTGTGGGACTTGAAGTAGGGTCCTTTCGTAGGGTGCGGAGTACCCCAGACGCATAGTCCTTGCAGGCTCACACTTACCCAGCTGTGGCCTTATGTAGGAATCCAAGTCTCGTCTCTCCTGGGAAGGGAAAAGCAGGTGAAGGGATGTCACAAAGGCGTAGAATTTTGGGAGGAGAAGAGATGGGGCAAAAGGAAGGTTGTTGCCAGGTGGCCAGCCTTCCGCCCCATTACCTTGGTCATGGTGGGAGGGGCTGTGTGCCTGCTGGAGAAACGAAGGGGCTCTTGTTCAGTCAGCTGAAGGCGTAACCTTGGCCTCATCTCAGCAGGCTACCTGACCTCTGTGGTAATACAGGCCCCTGAAGTGTGGCACTGGACCTCCAGTCACCTTGGCTTTCTGGCTGCTTCATGTATGCAAGGGCTTCAGAAAGTTCGTGGACAAATTCCAAGATCATTTAATTCCATTTTCCACGAACTTTTTGAAGCCTTCTTGGGGGAGGATCTTTGAAATAGGTACTTCTCATAAAGTCTGCAAAAGCATGTAAGGACCAGTAGTATCCTTGTTGGCAAGTGGAGTTGGAGTAAGCGATGCTTTGGAAAATAAGATATTCAACTTATAGATACACAGGTAAAACTCTATACATGCAGAATTCATAAAACCAAGAGGTTTCTACTGTATCCAGAATTTTGAAATCATACTGATGATGATAATAAACATTACAGTAGTTAGGTTAATATGGGCTTAATATGTACAGCCACTCTGAACCTCTCACTTTTTTCCTTTTTAAACATTTTCTTGGGAATTAAGTGAGGGTTTACAGGCTACCTCATCGTTTTCTACTCAGTAATCTCTCAGACTTCCCAATGGCTTGCCCTGCATTGCTTCTGTCATTTGTTTTTGCCCCTTTCTCTCTTGTCAGATAGCCTTTCCCTTCCCTCAAGTCAGCATCTGTCTACCCTCTGCCCCTTCCTTCTCCAGCCTTCTCGTGCTCTCCCACTCCTGCCTCTGGGTGTGCAAGCCTTTTCTGAAATTTTTTTCCCTTCTAAACAGTAGTCTCATAAGGTGTTTGTCCTTTTGTGATTAATTTCACCCTGCATACTATTCTTCAAGTCCATCCACATCAGGGATGGAAGAGTTAATTTCATCATTATTCTTTAACCCCGTATGGTATTCCATTGCATGCCTGTACCCAGGTTTGTTTAGCCATTCTTCCACGGATAGGCATGTAGGCTGTTTCCACTCTTCTTGCTACTGTGATACGTGCCCACCAGTGTGATGGATGTTGGTGTGCATATTATCTATCCATGCTGTCTTTTCTCTTGCTTCAGGGTATGTACCAAGTCTAAAGATACTGGGTTGTGTGGTATCTCTAGTCCCAGTTGTTTAAGGAAGCCACATAACACTACATTGCAGTACTGCCAGCAATGTAGGAGATCCCAATCGCTCCACACCTTCTCCAGTGTTTGCTATTTCCTGTTCTTTGTTTTAATTTGCTGTCAGTGTTGGGGTGAGGAAATACCTCATTTTGATTTGCATCTCTTGGTTGATGAGCATTTTTTCATGTCTGTGGGCCATCTAAATAACTTCTTTTGTAAACTGTTCATGTTGTCCCCATTTTTAGTTGGTAATTCATCTTTTTCTTGTTGCCGCTTTCTAGAGAATTTAGAGACTAACCCCTTGTTTGAACCTCTTATAAAGTCATTCATTCATCACACTGTGAGGATAGGTATTTATTCCCTTACTTCCTTTTAAAACTGACATCTACCCCCCAACCCCCCCACCTCACGTCCCTCTTCCCTGCTTTGTTTTTTCCCCCCAAAAAATATCATTCATAAGTACACAGACATAGCATATTATTCTGCTACATGTCTGTCCTTTTGCCAGCACCCCTGCTCCACCTTTTCCACACACTGACTGTAAATTTCATGGGAATCAGTTTCCATACTGCTGTATCTATCATCAGTGCTTCGGACAGTGCCGGACACGTGGTAGGCAGTCAGTAAATATGTTTTCAATGAATGAGTCTCTGTTTTACACTCAGTTTCCCAAGATCACATAGCTGCACTAGAACCACTATAGGGCCCAGAATGGCCTCCTAAGTCTTGGATGAAGCTTGTTTGATTTCTAGCTTTCAGACACTGTCTACACCTCCAAGAGTGTTGTGACCTTTATCACTTCAGTTTGGGCTCCCTTTCCTACTTCTCACCCGAGGGTTGTATTTTATGAGCTTTTGTAAAGATTACTCTCTCTCTCTCTTTTTAATCCTTCATTCAGGAAACAAAATCTAACTCATCTTTATTGTGAAATTTTAATAACAACCAAGCCTTGAACATTGTGCTTTATACATGTCAAAACAAAGATATTTAGCCATATTGTAGACTAAAAGGTGTTCGCTGCCGACTCCCCTTGTGCTTCAGTGGATAGTGGTGGGTTGGGGGATGGAAGGAAGGGAATTCTGAGAAGAATCCCAGAATAAGCCCCTGCTGACTGGAAGATGTTGCACTATGAGAATTTGGACATACGGGAAGGAGCTCTGGGGGTGCTGAGGGCTATGCATTGAGTTGCTGACCACATAGGTTAGTGGTTCAAACCTACCAATTGTTCTGAGGAAGAAAAATGGGACTACCTGCTCCCATAAAGACTGAATGTAAAAAAAAGACAAAAGACTGAATGTGTTAGAAACTATAGAGAGTCCCTGAGTCAGAGTTGATTTGATGGCAATGAGTGTTTGTTACTGAAGGTCATGACCTTGAAATAACTTTTTCCTTATGACATCTCACATCATACCTGTACTCTCTGTCATAATCTGATTTTACCAAAATCTACAATTCTATAAGTTCTAGGGAAAGAGGGAGCAACATTATTTCTTAAAATTTGTGTTCAGGCAGCATTAACCTTTTGAGTTTTGTTTCCTCCTGTCATATTATGGACATATAAGTCTTCAGATTTTCTTTTGGTTGGTTCTCCTAAGGTTCTGGAACACCAAAAAAAGAATTACATCTCATTTTCTTTTCTCCCTGCTCTAGCTAGCCTCTCCTTAACATGTTTAAAAATCAGTGAGTATCTCAAACATACATGGAGGGGCTTCAAAAAGCTTGTGGAAAAACTCCAAGTTTTTTTATTCAATTTTTCCACAAACTTTTTGAAGCCCCTGTATATTAAAATGTGCTAAATAATGCCTCCTTATTTTCTATAATCAAATTGAGGAGAAGGGGAGGAAGAAGAGATAAAGGACACTGGATAGTTTTTGTTTTGTTTTTATTTCCATTCAGCTGAAATTATAATGTTGAGAACCTGAAATTATAAGACACATAAACTCCACGTAAAGCATATCTTCAGTGTGTAATAGCAAGACAGGAGCCACTTAGTTTTAACAGTTTATACATTTTTGGTATTCCATAATACATTCTTGACCCCAGGGCAGAACATTTATGGTGAGACTGCAGGATGCTTATTATTCGCTTAGACACAAAGACAGTGGTGTTGGGGAAACTGTAACAATGACTGTGTTGCTTGTTTTGTCCTGTGCTCCAGCTACAGAGTTCCCTATTTTGGAGAAGCAGAACTGGCTGATCCATCTCCACTATATCCGGAAGGATTATGAGGCTTGCAAGGTACGAGATCACATTGCTAAAAAGAAAAGTAGGCTGTTGGGTCAACAACAATGTCTGCTGTGCAGTTTGTGGCAGTTAATATTCCACTAACAACAAAAGGATTCCGTTCCCTCCACATTTCCTGCGTTAACTTTTATTGTGAGAATGTAACAATTTTAAAATTTATTTATTATTATTTTTTGAAATCATTTTATTGGGGGCTCATACAATTTTATCACAATCCATCCATCCATCCATCCATCCATCCATCCATCCATCCATCCCATCCATCCATCCATCCATCCATCCATCCATGTGTCAAGCACATTTGTACACTCGTTGCCCTCATTATTTTCAAAACATTTGCTCTCCACCTAAGCCCCTGGCATCAGCTCCTTATTTTTTGCCCTCCCTCCCTGCTTCCCCCTCCCTCATGAACCCTTGATAATTTATAAATTATTATTTTGTCATATCTTGCCCTGTCTGACTTCTCCCTTCACCTACTTTTCTGTCCGTCCCCCAGGGAGGAGGTCACATTTAGATCTTTGTAATTGGTTCCCCCTTTCCACCCACCTTCCCTCCACCCTCCCAGTATCGCCACTCTCACCACTGGTCCTGAGGGGATCATTCGTCCTGGATTCCCTGTGTTTCCAATTCCTATCTGTACCAGTATACAAGTATACATCCTCTGGTCTAGCCAGATTTGTAAGGTAAAATTAGGATCATGATAGTATTTAGGAACTAGAGGAAAGTTGTATGTTTCATCATTGCTACACTGCCCCCTGACTGGCTCGTCTCCTCCCCACGACCCCAATTTCAAAATCTTAATGGTCCCAATAACAGACATTTACTTATTGCTCATGGGTCTCCAGATTGGCTGTGATTGGCTAAATTTGACGCTAATCTGTGGGGTCCGGTTCAGAGGTTCTCTGTGGGTCAGGCCCAGGGGTTCTCTGTGGGTCCAGATTCAGGGCAATTTTATGGTTTGATTCAGGGGTGCCCTTTGGGTCTTGTCCAGAGTTGTGTGAGGAGGTCAGATGCTTGCAGGCATCCTCCCTGAGGGCGATCAGTTGCCAAATGGCAGTGGGCCTTGCTCCCTGCTGTTACGGACAATGGACAGGCTTGCAGTCATTGATTTGGTTCCTGTAGGGGGAGTTCACACCCTACTGATAATGATTCCTATGGAGATCCAGAGAACAAGTCAAAATTAAGCTGCCATCCTAAATCTAGGATCCACCCATCTTGTCACGTATACCCCAATCCCTCCTCTTTATATTGACGTGTATGTCCCTAGACCACCCCCTCATTGCCGTAGAACCTATAATGCAACCCCTTCCTGTGACGTATGTCTTTACCTGTAACTAGTGGGCTTGCACGCCCCAAAAGGTATATAAGCCTGGGTTAGCAATAGAGGCCTCTCTCGCTGGTCTCTCCCCCTCACTCTCCCTTCCTGGCCTCTCTCTGCTCCCTCTCCTCCCCTGTTTCCCTTTCCCTGTGTCCCCCTTTCCTTCCCCCTCTCTCCCGTGGACCACCAAGTGGGGCTGAGGTGAGCAGTGCTACCATGTATTGTGTCTGACTCCATTGTTTGACACTCTCTCCCATGGCTCATGCTCTCGACTTTAATATAATACTTATATATCTCAACCGTACAATTGTGCTTACTGAACCCATGATTAGTGTTGGGGGACTGGCCCCCCCCACCTCATACGGCACAGAGGTACGTCATGTGTCGTCTTATTTCCACTGTTATGCTGAGGAGCAGCTCTCTGTGAGACGTGTTGGTCTTATGGTGGCAGCCAGATGCTAAACCTTTAACAGCACATCATCGAATTCTTTGATACTTGTACAGGTGACATGGTATTCCATTGAATTAAAAATTTTAAAAATGGTTTTATTAGCATATAATTCACATAGTATGTAGTTTCATGGTTTAAACATATTAAAAAGTTGTGTAATCATCCCACAATCAATTTTAGATCATTGTTATCAGTTCCTCATTTCCCTCCAACCTCTTCTTCCATAACCCTGTTAGTAGGTGCCGTCTAGTCGCTTCTGACTCATAGGACCTTATGTACAAAAGAACAAAACATCGCCTGGTCCTGTGCCATCCTCATCATTGTTCTTACATTTGAGCCCATTAATGCAGCCACTGTTTCAATCCATCTTGCCAAAGGTCTTCCTCTCTTTCGTTACCTTGCTACTTTACCAAGCATGACGTCCTTCTCCAGGGACGGGTCTCTTTTGACCCGTGTCCAACGTATGTGGGACAGAGTCTCACCATCCTTGCCTCTAAGGAGCATTCTGGCTGTGCTTCTTCTGCACAGATTTTTTTGGGGTGGGGAGCAGTTCATGGTACTTTCAGTATTCTTTGCCAGTACCATAGTTTAAATGCAGCAATTCTTCTTCAGTCTTCCTTTCCAGTGTCCACCTTTCACATCCAAAGTGCCATGACTTGGGTCAGGTTCACCATAATCCTTAGAGTACTTCCCTTGCTTCTCAATGCTTTAAAGAGGTCTTTTGCAGCAGATTTACCCAGTGCAAGGTGGCGTTCGATCTGTTGACTGCTGCTTCCATGAGCATTTATTATGGATCTAATCATGACAAAATCTGTGATAACTTCAACCTTTTCTCCAGTTACCATGATGTTACTTACTGGCCAGTTGTGAGGACTCTGATCGTGTTTACATTGCGTTGCAATCCATACTGGAGCTGCAGTCCTTGATGCTCACCAGCAAGTGCTTCAAGTCCTCACTTTCAGCCAGCAAGGTGGGGTCATCTGCAGATTGAAGGTTGTTAATAGTAAGTCTACCTCCAATCCTGATGCCCAGTTCTTCATACAATCCATCTTCTTAGCTAAGAAACTATTAACCCAGTTACTGTCTCTATAGCTTTAGTGATCCTGGATTTCATATAAAGAAAAATATGCCCCCAAAACCCCACAGTAAAACCTTAATTCAAAAGCAGAAAATAATAAAAAATAAGACATATTTTAAAAGGATCAAAGTGAGAATAAATCCATTGAATTTTGTTTTATATTTCTCTTATGGTGAGCTCAGTTATCATTCATATATCTAAAAACCTTGATTTCACTTGTAAGTAACTCAGATTTTTGTAATTACCCTATAGTTGGACTATGATGGCCTTTTTATGGCCTTCAGAGTTTGTCATGCCTACAAGGTTGTGATTTTTCATTTGTACCTGTGGCATTTATTATAATTTGAGAAATTGAAATCAGAAGCTACAAAAACTCAAGAGAAGTTTATAACTACTGTGTAGGTCAAGTATCTCTTTTTTATTCTTTAAATTTTATTAGTTTTGTTGTTGAGAGTGTACACAGCAAGGCCTACACTAACTCAGCAGTTTCTCCCTGTACAGTTCAGTGACACTGATGACGTTGTTCCAGGTATGCAGCCATTCTCACTCTCTCTTGTTCCTTCCTCACGAATATCAACTCACTGTCCCCTGAAGTTCCTGTCCGATCTCGAATTGTTGTTGTTAATTTGCTCCTTGTGTTAGGAAGGGTTGACTAGAGAAACAAATCCCGTGCTACCCATGAGCTTCATATCAAGAAGTAATGATACATCAAGAAAACCTCCCAGCCCAGCCCAACTCAAGTCCATAAATCCAATACTAGTCCATAAGTCCCTCTTCAGCTTCATGCACACACAAGTGATGCAGAATGCAGAAAGATCACAGGCCAGTGGGTGCAAAGTTGCATGGATCTAAGGTCAGTGGGAACATGACAGGCTCTGGCAGCCCTCAGAGTGACCAGCAAGCAGGCAGGTGAAGGCAGAGAGAGGAGAGGAGGTTCCGAGGGCCCTCCTTATGAGGAGGCTATACCCCCAAGGCTTTAATCTCATTGACATGTTGAACTCCACCCCTACACCTTTATACATCTTCAAGCTGGCATGAAGTTACGCAATTACCACAATCTTAAATAAATAGCAGTCACCAAAGAATCCAAGCCCACTGCCATCTAGCACATTATGACTCACAGTGGTACTATAGGGTGGACCAGCACTGCGCCTTTTAATTTCTGAAACTGAACATCTTTATCTTTATCTTGCTTTTTAGGAGTGGCTGGTGTGTTTGAACCCCTTACCTTGTCGTTAGCAAGGCCCCCTTACTCTTGGGGCCACCAGAGCTTTGATTTTATATCTCACTACCATTGAATCAGTTCTATAGCCTGTCCTATAGCCACCCTGTCCATCTTTGCAGGAGTAGAAAACCTCATCTTTCTCCCTTGGACCCCTGGTGGCACAGTGTTTACTTGTTGGGCTGCTCACCACAAGGTGAGCAATTTAAAATTTCACCTCTCGGGAGAAAGATGAGGCTTCTACTTCTGTGAGGAGTTAGTCTTTAGAAACCCACAGGGCAGTCCTCCCCTCTCCTCTGGGGTTACTATGAGTCAGCATCGAGTCCATGGCAGTGATTTCGTTTAGATAGTCCTGAGAGGAATACTCAAGGCAGACTTGTTTTCCTAGTTAGCTAAACTGTTGTCAGTGTTAAGATGACAACAGAAAATATTTCTGATTTAAAGTGTAAAGATAGCTCAAGGCAATAGTTTCAGGGGTTCACTCACCCTACATGGTTTCTGAAAATCTGAAATCCTTGAGAATTTGATACTCTCTTCTGTATCCCTCCCCACTCCCCAATTGGTCAGGATTTTTCTGAGGAATCTTTCATCAAAATGTTCAGCAGAGGTAGCCAGGCACCACTTGGTTCTTCTAGTCTCATGGGAAAGGAGATCGTTGTTCACGGAGGCACCCAGCCACACATTCTATTTCCTCCTCCTCGTCCTTCCTCCAGTGTTTCAGGCAAATAGAGACAATTGCTGTGCCTTGGATGGCTACATGGAAACTTTTAAGATCCAAAGCACCAGGAAATGAAATAGCTAGAACTGAAGCACATAGCATGCTATTAGACCATTTAACTGGGATAGCCCATAAAACCATGACCTTAAACCTTTAAACCACAGGCTCCCAAACTTATTTGTCTTTCTGCCCCCTTTTCAGATTAAA